GGAACTGGGATCCCACTGCAGAAGAAAAAAGGGGGGACTGCATTTGATAAGGAGTCAAAGCTGGAGTGTAGTGAAGTGCAGTGAAGTGGAGAGCTGGATAGTACTTTTCAGTGGGTGCCCATCAGAGGAAGCTTTCAAAGAGTCCGTGCAGCATCACAAGGTCTTTTACAGCTCAGCTCTCAGAGAGGCATTAATATTCCCCCAGGGCTGTCTGGTTGCTGTCAGTTCCCCAGAGGTGACTTCAGGAGAGTTCACCTCAAAGGAGCCACAACACACTTTGAAGACAGTTTCTATCCACTTGACAGAATTACAAAATATACCACACTCACCTGGCAATATAAGAGAAGATGAAGAATGCTGGTGGTTGAACACTGAGCACATGTCTCCTCTGACATTATTTGTCAGGAAAAATTTTAGGCTGATCGTGACAAATTAGTTAGTTATCAGTAAAAATCGTCTTGGATCACATGATGTTCATTTCTGTTTGTAAAGATGGTTTTAGTTAATGCAAACACTGACCTTGAGCCGCATTGGCCAAGTATTTATGCTTTGAAACTATGAGGCTTAATGAAAAAACAGGAATCCATTAAGACCTCCTCATCTGTTTTACTAACTGACTTTCTGTCCAATTTTATGTGGTCTATTGTGCTAACATCCTCCAATGCTATCAGAAGCCTCCATTCAAACCCATCTCACAGACATTTTACTAAATGGATATGGTGCTTCATCACCACAACAACAACAACACACGGCAAAGACTATAAAGTGTTTTAAAGCGCTAAGCACAGCTCATGTATATCCTTCAATGTGCTCAGAGGCAACACCTAAGTTGCAGGTACAAAACAGAGATAAAGAGGAGATGAGCTACAACGAGGTCATAGGGTCAGACAACTGTGGGTGAACACCGCCGCCTGATCGGCTTTAGCGCACACACACACGCACGCGCGCACACGCACACGTGCACACACACACACACACAGAGAGAGAGAGTGAGAGAGGGAGAGAGAGCTAAATATGGAAAGCAAGAAGCTGCAGGGTCCTTAGGAGTTGAAGAGATTATTTTCAGGCTATCTTCCTGGGTCTAAAGCCTGGATTTTATTTCTGCATAGCATAGATGAAGAGCCAACACTGCAGCCTACACAGGTGGCCTAGGCAGTTGTGTGTCTGTGTCACTCTGTCATTACACAACCAAAATTCTCTTGTTGGTGGTTGGTGGACACTGAGCACATCATGTTGGAGTTGCATTGAACTGATTGGGGCAGCAGGAGATTGAGTTTTGTGTGCATGTCTGTCTACTGAGAGATATGGATGAGACATGCTGCCGTGTGGGCCAAACTGTTGTTGCAGTCTGCGTCATCATGAAGTGTAGTTACATATCTAGAGAGTAGCACATCAGACTCCAGCATAGTCCCAGGGGGTACTGCGTAGGGTACGGCGTTTCAGGGCCACGCTAATATAGATTAAGCACGTATAAAATATAAATGTAATATAAAGAAGTAGTAGTATAAGTTATACATTTTTGCCCAAACAAAGATTATCACCAGAGTTGCCCCCCTGCCTGAATAACAGAAAAAAATCTCTGGTGATGATTTACATGTTTGTTTGGTTGCTCACTTAGTGAATCATCCTCTGCACCACATAAAGCCAAAGCTCCCATCAAAGCAAAAAAAAAAAAAAATCACTTAACTCATTTTAACACACAACCACCAGAGAGCACTTCCCCTGTGGTCTAATTGCATACATACCAATTAAAATGATACACTACTGATGGCAGCAATAAATTAATATGAAGAGCTGTTTTATTATGCTGACGTAGAGACAAAGCAACTATAGAGAGGTCATACATGTACTGTACATCCAGAAACATTAGAATCCCCTCTCTACCATCATCTACCATCATCTAGCCTCCTTGTTTGAATCCTTTTTTACAAATATGTTATATTTAACTGCTGCAGCCTGGTGCAGGGCTTATGTTTCAGGGATGCAGTGTAGTTGCATTAAAGTATAAATGAAGGAGAGATGAGCTTATTTAAATAGTCAACAGTTGTGTTAAATTGGCCGTATTTACAGATGCAGGAGAACATATTGCTTCTAAACCCACAGTAACATATTGCAACCAGTGGAGGTCACTGTGGAGATGGAGATACCCTGGAGACTGGGACCATTAAGTTCTATCAGCTCTAATGGCTTAAAGAGAGCTGGAAACCACAATTACTGTGTCATCAACTACACTCTACCCACTTCATATTGAGGGCCCTCTGGTTTTTTAAATAGCTGATCTCCGACCTGTGCTGGTTTGGTGCAGGATGGGTCCACTCAGGCGACATTCCTGCAGTAAATGTCCCTTCCTTTGTGCCTTTAGAGGTCCTGTAAACTATTAGGACTGTAAAACCAAGGTGCTGTTCAACACATGTCCGGGTGCTGTGTTTCATGGTTAAGCTCTGGGCTTAGCTGATCAAAGCTGTGGCAGTCAACACCACCAGAGCTTTGCGGCTCAGGCATCCGTCACACTCCTAATTAACTCAGTGTTTCTCTGTTGTCCTTTGTGAAGTTTTTTCATGAAAAAGAACAACCACTAAGTTGGGGCCTTCTTAACTGTGATAGATTATCCAATGTGTCGGGAAACGAAACCAAGCCACAAAATGCTTTTTGAATCTGTGAAACCACTTCCCCTAAAAAGACATCAGTGGCGGCTGTAGGGGAGTCTGACACGAGTAAATAACTTCACTAGGTACCAGGCCTGGTTGATGGAGCCGATTTTAAGATATGTCCCTTCGAGGTCAAAGTATATAAATGAGCATGATTCTCAAACTTTAAGCAATATCACCAGTGACATAAAATAACAACTACAGATATGGTTACCCCAAACACATTCTAAAAGCACTGCATCAGCTAATAACTGATCACTCTTTTCAAATACATGATAAAGTGTTTGATACTGAGCTAAATTAATGATAAAATAATACACTGAATTATCTGGCTAATGCTCCATTGTGCATCTCTCAGTTTCCCACAGCTACAGGGCTCACTGTGTCACACCCCACCCCCTCATGTTTTTCTCTCTGGATCTACACTGATCTCATACAGGAACCCATCAAAGTGATGAAGAGGTTTAATCCCTGTGTTTGGAATATTATTCATAAAAAATTTAAGTCACCAAAAATGTTTTGTCCTTCAGTGCACTTTTTATTAGATGTGGTAAATACAGATAAACTGCTTGTAGAAGTGTTTTCGTTAGGGTGGGTCCTGTATCTTTTTATCAAGCGTACATTTCCAAAACATGTTTCCTGTGCTGGAAGGTCCACAGTCTCCACATCTGTGTGCATGATCGCAAACATCTGCAGGCAAATCTTTACTGAGCCAGAACACCTTAAAGCTCTAACAATCAGCAGCAGAGATCATAATAGCACTTTAAGATTGTTAGATTACACCTAACATGAATTCCTTATCCAAGAATAAGAGCAAACTTGCCTGTTCATAACACTGGTATATGTGTAAGAATAAGTGAGTTAGATGTACATATATGCTCAGGTTTCCTTCTAAAAAACCATGCTGAACCACTCACTGACAATTATTTTTGTAACTGAACATCTACATAATGGTAATAAGTCACAGGGTCATCTCAATTATATCCATTTTTGGCATAGGAAAAAAAGTAATTTCACCAAGCGCCAAGTCTTAAATTGAGTTGAATGCGATGTTGTCTCTCACTGCTCAACAGGACCGAGAAAGAGAGGGCACGACCGACGCTGTTTTCATCACGGAGCTGAGACATTTTCTGCAGTATGTGTTTATTAACTGGAGGTGTGAACTCTCCCCCGGCGGGTTTTCACAGTTACCTCTGAGGACAGTGGAGGAGAGCCTCCGGACCCTCCCCCAACTTTCACTCCCCGGTCGTCCTACGTAGTATCCTATCTTGTCAGTCCATTTTTTTTCTCATTCTTCAGAGCATGTCATGAGGGAATATGCCTTTAATGAGAGTTCCATCTTCCCCAGTCCCCAGGGCCCTTTTCACCTTCACAAACCGAGCCTCCTCTCTCCCCTTCTCTGTCAGTCCCTTCGTGTCTGTAAAATATACATTTCCTCAGCGGCCTCTTTGGAGGAATAAAAACCTCAAATCTTATACCACTTAAGGTGGTTGTATAGAGTTTTGTTCTGAATGAGGGCTGAGCTAATTTACCTTTTTGCAAACATAAACTGCATCTGTGTTTTTCAAAAACCTTAAACTCAATTCTTAAATCTGGGGTTGAAATGCTAAATGAGGATTTTTTTTTTTTTCAACAAATGTGAACATGAAAGACAAGTCCGAGCAAGGCTCAAACCGTACCATCCCCCCTCACATCAACTCATCTTTACACTAAACAGATCAAAGCTGTAAGCACTCTCAACAAAGGCTAGATAGCCCGCAGATGAGTGCCACATGTGAGTGGGGCCACACTGACCACTTAAAAGATTTCTCTCCTCTTTGCTAAGTCTTCCAGAACACAAAGACTCAGGTTGAACTCCACAGCTGCTGAAAAGCACAGCCCAGGAGAGACTCACAATTAAATCCAGTGTAAACACTCGCCCATTACGAGCCAGTAAAGTGTAAACACGCGGCACAGTTGTAGGGAGCTATACTTCAACACAAGGTGATCAAATATGGGGATGAAGTGGCAAAAACAAATCTCTGTCAGCAGACTGAGCCCACAGTGTAACCAGTGGGATCCAGAATGGTCCATCTAACGTTGTTACATCATCCTCCTGTCTTCTCCGCCCATCTTCCCTGTGACTATTATTTCTTTGAAAGGAGCAATTATTCAGAATAGTTCGACATGTTTCAGAGAGGACTGAGATAAAAGCTGCTCAGAGCAACTGTCATTCCTGGAGGGATGTGAGATGCTCAAGAGTCGTACAGAAGCACCTGAACATAGACAGGAGTCCTCACTTTACAGGTTTCTCATGGAGACAAATGAAATGGTGCACAAAAGAATTAGCAGCACATTTAACCGATTTTGTACCTGGCGATCTCTTGCTGGGACGTAGGGGCATCATGTAGGACTGTCGTGGCAGCAGAGGCGATGAGGGGAGAGACATGGACACTCCCTTGGCGAGACTTAGCCTGAAAATGTCATCATTAGGGAGAGTGCTGCCAGGCCCCTGGGGCTGGGGGGTTCCATCCAGTGGGAATCTTCTTTGGCTGCTGTGACTGTGAACATCACCTGTTGAAGAGAATCACAAGGTGGTTACAGATGGAACAAATAGCTTTGGTATGAGCTCATGTACTGACATCATGAATCTACATAGAGTCAATTCAATCATGCACAGACCTTCAGTAGCACAAAACAAGCACTTACATGGGCATATGTGTTTTAGTACTTTTATTGTACTAGTCACAGTGGGGTTGAAGGAAGTGAAGCTTTTTAACAACAAAGTGCTATTCTTGGACAGAGTTGTTAAAACTCTGAGAATTATTTAACAAAGCACTAATGTGTAATGGCAATGTAGTGCCGCACACTAATATGCACTGTGTGCACAAGGCTAAATCAGTGTTTCCCGCAGAATTAGATTGCTGCCGGTGGAGGGGAACGTGCACTGCTAATGCGCAAAACACTGCAATAAAGATTTTTTTGTATTATTATAAGTGTTAGAGAAATGGTTTCATTATGAGACTGTGGTGGGACAAATTAAACTGTGACAGGCTGTCAAAGTTGAATTATAGGCACTGGCTAAATACATAGGACTCTTCCAGCAATATTTGAAAAGTGGTTGTATACTGTATGATTTAAGACATTTTGACTTTGAATTGCAGTCATAGCACATAGCTCTACCAAGCCCTAAAAAACACATTTTAATTCACTAGATCCAGATTTTTATTTGGATCTACACCAAATTAGACATTAATAAATGTCAGTCCCCTAAATGTGTTTTAAATTATGTTTTTATGGAATTTTGTGTAAACACACCTTTCTGGCAGAGGTAATTCATGAATTATATAGTTTTCATACACACTTGTTTAACTGCCAGTGTATGAAAAAACATCATGTTTATCTGCAGTGTAAGAGGCATTGTATTTAATTTTTCCTTCCCTCAGACCCAGTGTTTTCATGATTCTGATACGGTTCAATATGGTTTATAAAAGAAATTGGTTGAGTTAAAGCTTCAACAGGGAAAACAATGTAATAATGTAAACTGTCAGAATGAGCCAGAGGAAAATCCATGTCCACAACAAGTAATAAATGAGAAATGTTTTGAGATGTAGCAAAAATGATTTACAATATAAAACATGTATTATTATAAAGGATTTTATCTAATACAGAAACCATACTTTCAAAAAAGCTTTATATTTATACTTTGGATAAATAAAGACAACCAAACTGACCTTGAAGCTGATTCTACTGGAACAGTGTACCAAATCATTTTCTTTTACTACCATCCTGAGTCTGAAGGTCAGGAATGCAATGTAAAAACCCCAGAGAGAAAGCTTGGCAGTGCTTTATTTTGCTGCAGAAAGCATCGTGGCTCTTACAGGATGGGACTCATGAGTATATACTGCACTCAACACACATGGATACCAGGTAGAAAACCCCCAGAATGTCAGCTTTTTGAGAAGCTTGATGGCAACACAGTTTCGAAAATCATTAAGTTTCATGCAATTTTCCCCACTCATCCAGTTGTCGGTGTTTACTTATTTATGCAACCTCATAACACAAGCAGGTGCTATGCACTTGTTGACTAATCAGCTTACACCACCAGGCTAATGGTGGATTTCAGAATTCACTACTGTGGTTCCTTACTGACGTTTCCTGTAAATGATTCAAACAGGGAAACTAAGATATTGATCAAGCATCCACCGATTCCTGGAATCCAAGCTTGTGAGAAGGCAGTTTAGACAAGTGGAATAACAATCCTTATAACTCCCATGACACATTCATCTCGGCAGAGCAACATGCAGTGTCAAATACACTGTTTGCAATGAAGCTGTTTATTTAAGACGTCAATGAACTTTCCACTTGTGCGCTCTTACTGTAGCAGTTCATTGCCAAGTCTGTGAGTTTCATCAGCCACACCTCTACTATTTTGGTGTTCACCTGAGGGCTCTGTCTGTCTGTCTGTCTGTCTGTTACGGGCATCATTCTTCAGTCTCCACTTTACTGAGCTGTGCGTCGATGAGGAGCCGAACAGATGCCAAATATCAACTCAGTTCATGCTCCGTATCCCATAATAAATTTGTCCCACGTGAACTGAGCTGACTGAAGTATGTTTACCAGAGTTAAAAATTCAGAGTGAGGCATCCTGTCAGAAATGTCTCACCGCACACATGTTGCAGGTTGGCATGCAGTCAAGATTTCCTATCTAACAAACAGGGCATACTTGAACTCCAGATACAAGAATGTGTGAATGAATTATTGCAAGAATTTGGGGGCATTGTTTAAATTCATGAAGTCAGACAAACATCACAGGATGTCATGCCAGAAAATGACGTCAGATATAAGTCTCTTGCTGTCAGGGAAAATCACACAGATAGCTAGTAGGGGTGGGAGAAGGCAGAAAAGACCTGGATCCTGAAAAACATAGAAGCACATAATATGTATTTAAACCCAGGGTCATGGGCCAGAGAGCGTTTCTCATGCCACCGGGGCACATGAGAAGGACATCCAGTCAGTGAAGTAAACACGGCTGTGTGTCATTGACCACTGAGTTTAAGATAACATGTAACTAACAAAGCACACTGGCTGCCTGTTACTTTCAAAGTTATTTATGGGGAAAAAATCGGTTCAGGTGATTCAGGTGATACTGAGAGAGAGTCATGTTCATCTTGTCTCTGTATACAGTGTTCCATTTCTCTCTCCCTGCAGAGCTCTTAACTCCCCTAAGACATATTCCTCATGAACCTTATTTTGAGAATTATTGGATAAATAAGTTTGCTGCACCCTTTTGTGCAGGCAGCATGCATAAGTTCTTCTCACATATGAAGAATGCAGAAGAAGATTGTCCGGGTCAGACACATTCACAAGGAACAGGAAGTTTCCAGTACATTCAGGCAAGGGGTGGTATCTGGGTAGAGGCAGGACATGACTAACAAATTCAGCTGAGGAAAGTGTTTTTGTTTGCAGCACATCGACACCTGTGTCGGCCCTTATCAACAAAACCTCTCAAAACGTTGCCAAGTTGACATCTTCATCGGTGTCCTGATCGTGTATGGCTCTTTTTCATCCAGAGATATTTGTATTCTTCCAGTTTTGCATCCGTCACACACTAGAAACATAATCAGCACTTTCACTCGCTCACTCCAAAAATGTTCCTGCTGTATTCTCACGTTGGTTCACTCAAGCATTTTACTTGGGGGCTGGCAGCAAAAGTTCTGGAAAATGTTCAGAGGAACTGACATTTGTGTTCTCATATACAGCCCCTTTTGAAAACTACAGGAACATTTCCGGACTACAGTACATATCTAAAAACAGCAATAGTCAGTGACAGTCACTGTTTGTTGTCCCCACAAATTCACTGAATGAGCTTCTCTGTCCTGAGGCATTATCACATTTGTCAAGCTGGAAGCAGATTCTGTTGATGCTGTTGTGGTGATGAGGCAGACTGAAGTCGTCCATTGTAATGAGAGAAAACAATGGAACATCAAAACCAAAGAAAATGACACAATGTCAGTAAGATGTGGTGTCCATTACATGTTTTATCATCAGCACTGGTTTTGAAAACGTGAATGGTAGAGCAGATGTAAAAATCTACTACTCTGTTATTCAGAATGCAGTAATTAAAATAGGTCAATCAAATCTAACCTAAGTCTAACATAATTTAATCAATACTGAGCAGCTTGAGATGCCAAGAGAAAAAAGCAGCATCCATGTGATGGCCAGGTTTATAACAGCTTCTTAACAGCTGCATTAAAGGTTTGCAAGGCTCCAGCTTGAGGCAAAACCTGACCTGTGGTTGGACCCCACCGCACTTATGGTAAACCACCAGCAGCTCCGAACACAAGCCTTATGATAAGTTGAGATTTAGATTTAGATTTCCTTTATTGTCCCTCAGTGGGGAAATTCACATGTTACAGCAGTAGCACAAGATTTAACTCCAAAGAGAGGACAAACAAACAAGCAAACAGAAACACACAACATCAGGTAGTATATATAGCAGCAGTTGTACATGGGCAAATAGCAAAATTTTTAAATTTTTCAAGCTGCCTAAGGTCATGAAAGTTGGGGTTAAGTTTCTTTGTTGTATCCCATGTAAAGACCCACACTGTATAACTACAGTAATCTCAAAACAGAAAAAACAGTTGAGCTGGTCACAATGGTGTACAACACAACCCATGTCCAGAAATAGAAGTTGTCTGCCATCTTATATTGCAAGCCAGCACTTCTCTTTTACAGTGTCATTGTTCTGTGCACTCATATCAAATCAAACTCACATGTTGGACGAGACGTCCCCACATTTTCCTGTTGAGGTACAGTTCTCCTCTCACAAATGGTTCCCCACAGTCTCCACACATGACTTAGCGAAAAACTCACAAACGACTGTACCTGGCTACTGGTTCACTCGGCGGTATCCAAGCCCTCGATGGAAAAACTGGTTTTGCTTTACTGAGAACCAATCGTGCATGGAAAGATCGTTCTAGCCACGGAGTCGTCTAACAGCAAAGTACAGTAATCTATTCTGCGGCACCAAAGTTGCCCACTCATCATAGCCACAAATTAAAATGTATGAATTATCAACCTCAAGATAACATGCAGTACCAAACTAATAACACAGACCATACGTCAGCGGATCCTGCTAAATCATAACTGCAGATGTGGCGAACCACAGTAACGACAATTAGCTTTGGGTTCCGTGTTCAGCACTGTGCTGCTCAGCAGATTAGCACTGACGCCTGTCTGCAGGAGGTTTGCCGAAATCACTTAAGAAGTGAACTGTGAGGGACAAGCTACTATTAGCATCCTGCTCCTCTCCTCAGGGGAATAAGTGTTGTTGGGCTGCCAGTCAAATCAGAAACAGTGACCCATTTTCTCCCCGCCTCTGCCTCGCCGTGGGTGGGGGGAAGGGGGCACACAAAAGGCACCCTGTGTTTCAAAGGGTCCCTAGACAAGAAGAATGCCAGAGCCAGGAAGCGAAAAGGTTGCAGGGACACCTTCGAATTCCCTCAGACACAGAGAAACCTGTGATTGACCCAAAGGTCACGCAGCGAAGGTCCGGACCTGTAGTGACCCTG